CTCAGTTGCTAGAAGGAATGTCCCTGACAAATTGCCCTTTTATTTTTGTATTTTTGGTGGCACCGGGATTTGAACTCAGGGTCTCACATTTGCGAGGCGGGTGCTCTAGCACTTGAGCCACTCCACCAGCCCTCTATGCTTCAGTTATTTTTCAGATGGGGTCTCACACTTTTGCCTGGTCCAGCCTTGGATCATGATCCTCCTCCTCCTCCCAAATATCCTGGATTATAGCATGGATCACCATTCCCAGCTAGACAGAATCTTTGGGATAATAATAACGCTATTATTATCATCATTATTGAAGACCACGTGGCTTGCAGTTGATCTTCTTGGAACCCTCGCTCTCTGGACTCTTTGTGACTCCCCCTTGGTAAATCCAGTCTATGTGAGCACCCAGGGCCGCATAGAAAGGCGCTACAATCCCTAGTCCCAGCTGAGCCCCGCTAGGCTCTATGCACTCAAGTTAAGAAGCCTGCAGGTGACCTCAGTTCCAAGCTATTTAAGACTCTCTGGCATTCACCTGAGAAGCAAAGACCACTCAGAGCATCCTGTCTACATATGACCTACAGAATTCATGAACTAATGAAATGATTGCCCCCAGGTGTGGTAGTGCACACCTGTAATCCCAGCTACTTAGGAGGCACGATCTTGGTCCAAAGCTGACCCAGGCAAAAGAACAACACTCTATCTTCAAAATAATCTGAAAGCAAAGGTTTGTGGCTCAAGAGGTAGAGCATCTGCCTAGCAAGTGCAAGGCCCTGCCTGAATTTGCCCCCAGTACTGCCAAAAGGTGGGGGGAGAGACAGCAAAAAAGAGAGACAGAGCGAGAGCGAGAGAGAAGGAGAGAGACCAAGAAAAAGGCACACCCACAGCAGCCCACTCCCTCCATCCAGGCCCCACCTCCTAATAGCTCCTTTAGCTATGAGCTCATTGTCATGGTCCAACCATCTGTCCACGGTGCCACGTGCTGGGGACCAAGCTTCGCACAGGAGCCTTGTTTGGGGGACACTACATTCAAACCAGTCAAAGCAGGACACCAAGGTCTCAGGGAGTCCCAGGAAGCCAGTTAACCCGTTCTGAGTGCACCCCCCAAAGACCGAAAGACCCCCTACTAGGCTCCACCTCTTAAAGGTCCCACCACCTTTACTGCAACGAAGACCCAGTGTTTTTACCTGGTGCTCCAAATGTCTCTGACCTGGACCTCAGTGTGAAAACCACTTTGCTGTCCAATCAAACTGCAGTGCCAGCCATGTGTGATTTTGACTTTAAAAACATAATTAGAAACAGGTGAAATCAGCTTTAAGAATGTATTTTAAGTCAGCTACCACTGGCTCACACCTGTAATCCTAGTTACTTGGGAGGCTGAGAGTGGGAGGATCGTGGTTGGAGGTCAGCCTGGGCAAATAGTTCATAAGACCCCATCTCCAAAATAACCAGAACTAAATGAACTGGAGGTGTGGCTTAAGTGGTAAAGCACCTACTTTGCAAGCTTGAAGCCCTGAGTTCAAATCCCAGAACCATGAAAATAAAAGAATGTATTTTATTTTAACCCAAAAAAGTAATATAATTTCAAAATGTCATTGATATAAAAATTATTAATGAAATATTTTACTTTCGTCTTTCCATACTAAGTCTTTGAAATCTCAGGTGTGTTTTTACACTCAGAGGACATTTCCATTTTCACCAGATCTAGATTTAAGTGTCATAGGTTTATTTAATTCAATTGTTTCAAAGTGGTATGACCAGCTTATCTTGGTTTATCAGAAAATGCCCTGCTTTTTTTTTTTTTTTTTTTTTTTTTTTTTGGTGTTTTTGGTTTTGGGGGATGGTTTTGATGGTATGGGATTTGAACTCAGGGCCTCACACTTGCTAGGCAGACACTTTACCATTTGAGCCACGACACCAGCCCAAGAACACTCTAGTTTTAAAACTGAAAGTCCCATATTCTGAAAACCACTTGGTCCCATGACCAAACCATGACAGTGGGTCACCCTCTTCCAAACATACTTGGACATTTTCCTATTTTGGAATTGTGTATCCATTTTTTAATTTAAATACATGAAAATGAAGTAAAATGTCATTTACTCATGGCACTAGCTACATTTGAAGCACTCAGTCACCATGTCTGTACAATGGCTGCCATATTGGAAGAGGTTAGCTTAGAACCTAGGAAACCACTTCTCCTTGCCATTCAACCAACCTTGGAGAATCTGGGTTTATCTTGTTTTGTTTCTAAATAAAGCTGGGATTTCCTCTCCTCTCTCCTATACCTGTCCCCACCATTTTGACCTCATCTGTCATGAAGCTCTCTCTGGAGGTGAAATCAATGGGCACACACAATCTTGGACTTTCAACCTCTTTTGTTTTTATGTAACCTAGGCTCAGAAATTTTGATATAGTATAGAAAGTGTAATGAAACACCTGGACAGTTTTCTTGTGGCTGCATTCACCTGGACAGTCAGCTGGATAGTCCAAGATGGTCTGGCAGTTGGTGCTAGTTGTTGGCTGGGCACTGGAACTCTCCATGTGGCCTTTCATCCAGACTTCTTTGCAGGATGATGGGCACAGAGCACCATTCTGACAGGGGCAAGACCCAACGTACAGGACTTATTAAGCCACAAACTCATCAAAGCCACAGGCCAAAACCAGAGCCTGGCTTGGTAAGCCTGGGAGACTTGACAAGAGCCCTGATTTATTGTCAAACATCACTGTAATAATACAGCACAGGAAAGAATACTAGGTGGGTGTCCATCCATCTTAGGGTTGGGAAGAGAAAACAACCAGTTAGGAAGCCAAAGGAACCAGAGAAGGACCAGAAGAGGGACAGGCCAACAGGCCAAGAGAGCAAGAAATTCTGGTCTGATTTGATTAAACATAAAACCCACGGTATTTTCAAACTTTTTGTTTGTCAGTTTGTTTGTGTTTGTTTTTTGATACTGGGGTTGTAAACTCAGGGCCTACACCTTGAGCCACTCTGCCAGCCCTTTTTTGTGATAGGTTTTTTTTCAAGATAGGGTCTCTGCAACTATTTTCCTGGGGCTGGCTTTGAACTGCAACCCTCCTGAGTAGCTAGAATTACAGACGTGAGTCACCAGCACCCAGCCTCCATCCCATAGGTCACAGGATGAGTGTCATTCCATTCCTTCTTCTTCCTTGATTAGTGAGTTTGGTTCTTTTGAGACCAGATCTCACTCGATCCTCCTGCTGCTGTTTCCCAAGTGCTGGGATTATAGGTATGCACTACCACTCTCAGTTTCAAAGGCTTTTGTCCAAGAACCACATTAAGAAAAGCATTTATAGACCAGGCAAGGTGGCTCACTCCATTGGGAGGATTGTGTTTGAAGGCCAGCCCAGGCCTTATGAAGACCCTATCTCAGTCAGTAAGCTGGCCATGGTAGCAATCACCTGTGATCCCAGATACATAGGTAGGAAGATTGTAGTCCAGATCGCCCTAGGCAAAAACGCAATACCCTATTCAAAACAACTAACTCAAAAAGGGCTGGGGGCGTTGCTCATGCGGCAGAGTTAGAAAATACATATTTATATCAAGGTGGTCAGTATAGGCACAGACACACACACACACCACACCACACACACACACGACCCAAACAAAAATGTCTTGATACATAGAAAAAAAAAATTGTAACCTGTTCTTACTATGGACAATACCTTTGGGATTTTACTTAAATTTTTTTAATGCTACTCCTGCCCTGATAAATTGATTTTATCATCTACTTGTAGGTCATAACCTGTTGGTTGAAAAATACTGATTTGGACCATCTAGAGCAAAGTCAGAAAACTGGCCAAATACTGCTTTTAGACCTGGATTGGTTTATTTTTTAGAAAGTAAATGTTGTGGGCAGGGGGCCTGGCTCAAATGGTAGAGCACCTGCTTAACAAGCAGGAGGCCCTGGGTTCAAAACCCAGTACCACCGAAAGGACAGGAAGGAAGGAAAGAAGGAAGACAAGCAACTTAGATTGCCAGGCAGAACAGCCAGAAATTTTTCCCCAAAGAGTTCCCAGCCTGCCCCTGAAGGTGGACCTGACCTATTATGTCCCCAAATTACTCTGCCAAAGGGCAAACCACCAGTCAGTAACTTTAACCTAGAAAATTTCCAAACCGCTCAGCCATGCAGGATATGTTTGTTGGCAGGACGGGGTCCCCAACACATTGGCTCTGGTTTGGGGACGCTTCTGATGTATTTCAGGTTCAGATTCAGAGCCCCACCACCACCACCTCCCTCTCACCTCTCCAGCTCGACAAACGGCCACCTCATTAACTCTGCACACATGACCCTCCCGACCCAGAGTCCTGGTTACCACGCCTGTCTTATCTATCTCCCGTCTCTCCTTCCTTACATTTTCCCCTGCAACAAAGCCAAACAGCACGGTGGGGGCTTTCACGCTCCTGTGCCTCTGGACACGCTGTTCCTTCTGCCTGGAAGGCCGCTGCCCCCCTCCCCTGCGCGCCCCACCCCCTTGCCGCGAGCTCCCATTCATCCTGCAGAACCCAGCCTGGATGCCCTCTCCTTGGAGGAGAGAAGAGAGGGCTCCCTCTTACCTCAGAACCCCCCTTTTGCTTTGACTTCTCTGCACTCAGATCACCAATTTCTGCCAACCTCTCCCCTCCCAGATTCAGGCCTGGAGTTGTTTGCCGAAGGGGGCGGGGCGGTGGGAGGAACTCAATGGACACCCCCAAACCTCCCAGCCTTAGTAAATGACAGAGCATGCATCCAGCCTCAGACTAGTTGCAAATTCCCCCGTGTGACCTGTCGACCTCTCTTGCAGTCCTGGGGAACCCGCACTCTAGCACTGGGTGGTGGGGGGAGTGCATCCGTAGTGGCGCAGCCGCCCCGCCCCCCTTCCGACCTCAGCAGCTCTTTGCTGCGCCGGTGGGCGTAGGGACTACAAGTCCCGGCGTGCTGCGCGCGGTAGCGCATGCGCAGTGGGCCGGCGTTTGAGTGGCAAGTTGTTTGTTACAGCGAACACCAGCTGCTGCTGCTGCTGTTGCTGCTGCTCCTGCGCCGGGCGCCGGGCGCTGCTGCTCGGCCGCTCGGTTGCTCCGCCGGCGCAGCTTCCCCCCCTCCACTCCTCGTCTACCCAGCCACCTTTTGCAACTTGGCGGGGCCTCCCTCTTGCTGAGTCTGGTCTGGCCCAAGCTGGCGCCGAGCTCCCGGTAACCCGGGCCGGCTAGCTGGCCGCGGGCGGGTCGGTGCCGGTGGTGGTGGTGGGGCGCGCAGAGGGGGCGGGGGGCCAGCGGTTTCGCCCCCCGCCGATGAGCCGCCGCGGGCGCGGAGCGCGGGCGGACGATGGAACTCCATATCTTGGAGCACCGGCTGCAAGTTGCCAGCGTCGCCAAGGAGAGTATCCCGCTGTTCACCTACGGCCTGATCAAACTTGCCTTCCTGTCCTCCAAGACCAGGTGAGAGCGCTAAGGGACGCGGCGCCGGCCTGGGGACAGACAAAGAGGCAGCAACCCGGGCTTGGCTGTCCTCGCCGTCAGCCGCGCCACGGAAAACAACTTCGCCGTCTCTTCGCTCCCGTGGGGGTTCCCTCCCCTGCGCTGACCCCTGCGCCCCGAGGCGCACCCCCCAGTGCCGCCGTGCGCCCCCCCATCTCTCTCCACCTTGTCCCGGAGATCGGCGCCCTCCTTCCAATCCCACCCCATCCCCCTCTCCCTGCGGTGACCCCCCGTCCCGATGCACCCCCCCTTCGCCACTGTGCGCCCCCATCTCTCTCCACCTTGTCCCCGAGATCGCGCGCCCTCCTTCCCATCCCACCCCATTCCCCTCTCCCCGCGGTGACCCCCGCGTCCCGATGCACCCCCCTTCGCCACTGTGCGCCCCCCCATTCGTCACTGTGCGCCCCCCTCCGCCACTGTACGCCCCGCATCTCTCTCCACCTTGTCCCCGACATCGCGCGCCCTCCCTCCCCACCCCCATCCCCGCGCGCCCCGGGCGGCCGCAGTGACGAATCCGCGAATGAATGAATGAATGAATGAGCGAACGAACGAATGAATGAATGAAAAACAGGTGTGGGGACGCGGCGATGGGAGAAAAAAACAAACTCACACGCCCATCCCCCTTACCCCCCCCCCACCATCATCCTTCCCCAGGCCTCGGTTGGGCTGGGCCCCTGTCGCCAAGGCAAGGGGGAGGGATTCCGCTGAGCCGTGGCTATACCCCGAGCAGAAAATCATAAAATCATGAGTGGATGTTTATCCCAAGGTGCCCCGGGAGGGGCTGCGGGGCGAGGGTCGCCGTTGATCCTTTCTCCCCTGGGGTCTTGGAGAGGGGTGGGGATGCCAAACCGTGAAAGGAGAGGAGCAGGCATGTTTATGGATTGGGCTTGGATGCTGCAGGGTGAAAAATAGTTGAAGGCCTTCAGAGATAAAAGGAAAAAGAAAGAAATTTTAAAAATAATAATAACAAGATTTTCCCAGTATAGCTAGAAGGGTTTGACTGTAAGCTATGGTAGGTGCTTGAATTTGGGGGTGGTTTTTAATTATTCTTTTGTCGTTGTTGTTTTTAAGGAGCCTGAGCCCAGTGGAGTGTGAGTGAGCTGTAACTTAAGTCCCTTGTTTGTCTGCCATGGTGACAGTGAAAAGGGGAGATGAGTTGCTGGTTGGATTTGGGGGGGGGGGGCGGGATAGGATGGACCCAGTGCTCTCACTCTCTTGCTGCAAAATGAATGAATACATTACAGGTCAAGGTTAAGTTAAAATGACAGCGCCCCCCCCTCCCTCCCCCACTCCTTTCCCTGGCTGTCCCTTTGGGAGCTGAGCACTGGGGACACAGGGAAATAATTTCACGGGAGCCTGTTATTTGCCTGTCAAAGTTCTTACTTGGGCATCTTTCTTGGATGTGATGAGTGAGAATCCTGTCTGGCCATTGTTTACCAGTCGCAGTCACATTTGAGGAGGTGTCTTGTTTACTTTCTTCTCTGGCTTGCTCCTTGGTGGGGACGGGAGGTTTGGAATCCTTGCCTTCGTAGAGCCTTGCCTCTTTTGATTGCTAAGGTAATTATTAAACACAGCATCTGAAAAAACAAACGTGAACAGCCTGATTCTGAACCAGCTCCAACTCCTTTCCAAAGACACAAAGCCCTCCTCTGGCTGTTGACACCTTCCCTCCTGCATCTTGGTATCCTCTACCTTCTACCCCAGGGCAGTCTGAAGGGCCAAGGCTAGAGGTGACAGAACTGTGTTTTTTTCTCCAACCCCTGGCCCTCAGCCCACAGCCCGCCAGCTGAGTTTCCCCAGCTACCCTGCAACAAATGATGGGGGATGATGACTCAGGCTGCGGCTGGCTGTGCAGGGCCTGAGTGATGGGAGGAGGGGGCACGGGGGGCTTCTTAGGCAGCAAACAGTAGGCTCCCACTGTCCGTTTCTCTTAGTGGAAAGACTGGCCCTTTTTGGGCAACCCCCACCCCACCTCCAGGGTCCAGTTTGGAGGACACATAAATAAGGAGGACCCACCTGTCTGACCCCAGGGAGACTGCCCTTTGTGGGTTCTCTTCTCCCTGTTCCTCTACAAGGCAGCCTATCGGAGGCCCAGATGACCAGTCCAGTCTCAAGAGATGACTCAGAGGTCAAAGGTCATCTCCCCATCTCAGGGTCTGACTTCAGAAGGAGCAGAACACATGTGTCCAGTGGCTGAGGACCTGCCGTCCTGTGCACTCTGAGCCCAGGCGTGGCTTCAGGTTGGACCCAGCCCTCTGGTTGCCTGAGTAACTGAGGCCAAGTTTTCTGACCCCTGGCTCTCACCTTGTCCATCTGTGAAATGGACCTAGCACAACTTAGCCCATTTTCACACCTGCTATGTGTGTGCACCATGGGTGACCCAAAAGTCTGTCATTCCCCCCTCTCCCCAAAGCCTGTTTAGCCCAAACTAATGCAACGTCCATGAAAATGTCCAGGTGGCCTGGTGAGAGCTGTCAGCCGCTCTCTATAGAGTCAGATCGTTGGCCTGGTATCCAAGGCCTTTTGGAGAGTCCGGGTCTGAATCCTGCTCTTTGACCACACCCCTGCTAATACTCCAGCAACCTCTGACTTACTTGTTTCCCTCCACTCTTCCCTGCTTCACCCCTGTACAGATTTCATCTCTTCCAGGAATGTCCTTCCACCCCAATAAATCCCACTTCAGCTCTCAAGACGTAGTAGTATAGGGCCAGGTATGTTAGTACACTCCTGTAATTCCAGCTACCTGGGAGGCAGAGGTAGGAGAATCACAGTTCAAGGCCAGCCGGAGAAAAAGCAAGAAACCCTGTCTGGGAAAAAAAAAACACAAAAGACACAAAAGGACTTGGGGAAGTGGCTCAAGTGGTAGAGTGCCTGCCTGGCATGCAGGAGACCCTGGATTCAATCCCCAGTACTGCCTCCCCCCCAAAAAAATAATGGTATTATTTTTTTTCTGATACCTTCCGTCCCCTCTCTCCACCTCCCAGCACTTAGTCACTTCCTCCCTCTGGTTTCTCCCTGGGGCAGAGCACGCGTGGGGGCAAGTGCCATTGGGAGACACCCGCTCTGCGCCAGGAAGAGGCTGGGTCCAGGGGAGGCTGGGATAGGCTGCCCTTGCCCCGTCAAACCCCAGAGCCTGGTGGGAGAGAAGGAAAGAAGGGATGACAGGGAATGGGGGGGGGTTGGTCCAGTAGGGTAGGGAGGAACTGGGGGGCTTCCTGGTGGAGGTGGTGCTAGATTATAGGGCTTTAATAGGAATTCGAGTGGAAAGGGGTCATCCTGGTCTCCAGGTGCCACATAACCCCATGTAAACAGTGCGACAACTCTGAATTAAGATTTCTATCTGCTTTGCAGAGAAGGAGCCTGGGGCTCAAAGATGTAGTGACTTGCTCGAAGTCACACAAGAAGTAAAGGAACCTAGGATTTGAGTCTGCATCTTTGTGGCATACACCCAAAAGAGTTTTGCTAGATACAAAAGATACCCATATTCAACAGTGCCACCCTTCCTCCCTCCCCACACCATGGTCTCAGTGACCCCTGACCTCGCCATCTATTACAAAGAGGTAAAGACACAGGTTTGGGGACTAAGATGGCTCATTCAAGGTCACACAGCTGGCCAGTTCTGCTACCCGAGCACACTGCCTTGTAGGCATTTGGTGACTGTCTGCGTGATGGACTTGCAGTGATCCAGATTTCAGAAAGAGTTTTGCGCTGGTGGGGTGGCTCAGGCAGTAAGATTGCCTGCTTAGCAAGCATGAGGTCCTGAGTTCAAACCCCAGTGCCACATAAAAAAAGCAGAAAGGGTTTTACCAGAATCTGATGAGTGCCTGGGGGGCTGGCAGAAGCAGGGCTGAGTGACCCTGCTGGGCTCTGCTGAGCACACCTCCTGTCAGGACAATGAGGGAGCACCTGGGTGTGTGTGAAAGAAGGTCAGGTCCACTGAGGGCACTTAATCTCCCCTAAAGCTAGAGTGCAAGCCTAAAGCTAGATGCTAGTGACTCACTCCTGTAATCCCAGCTACTGTGGGAGGCTGAGATCAGAAGGATCATGGTTTGAGGCCAGCCCAGGCAAATAGTTTGCAAGACCTTAGCTTCAAAATAACCACAGCAAAATGGACAGGAGGTGTGGGTCAAGCGGTAGAGCACCTGCTTTGCACGGTATGTCTCTTGTGACTCCCCGCCATGTGGATTATTTGTGGTGGGCCCTTGACCCCCTCCCATGTGTCCAATCTCCAAGCCTGTGCTCTGTCTGCCTCCTCTGGCTGGAATATTGCTCCTTGCCCTGTCCATTCTGTCTACCTGCTCATCGTTTTAGCATCACCTCCTCCAGGAAGTCTCCCTTGAGTGCACAGCAGCCTTCACCTCTCCTCCACTAGGATGAAAGGCAATCTCAGAATATCAGTAAGAATGCTTTGGACTGCAAATATCAAAAGTTTGGGCCTTGGGTACTAAGACGTTTTAAGCTGGGATGCTCTACGGTTAATTAACTTAAAGGCTTGATGGTTTGAGGCCACCCCAGGCAAAAAGTTAGTGAGACATCTCAACCAACAAACCAGGCATGGTGGCACAGGTCTGTAATCCCAGCTACATAACTGAGGTAGGTAATAGGATGGAAACCCAAGGCTGGCGCCTGGCAAAAGCGTGAGAGCCTATATGAAAATAATTAAAGCAAAAAGGACTGGGGGTGTGGCTCAAGTGGTAGAGCACTGCCTAGCAAGTGCAAGGCCCTGAGTTCAAATCTCAGTACTGCCAAAAAAAAAAAAGAAAGAAAGAAGGGCTTGACAATGTTATCAGGAACCTAGATCTTCCAGTCTTTCTGCTAAGCCAGCCCTGTGTGACAGTGTGGTTCCTTATGTCATAGCTGAGGCAGCTCCAGGTGTCCTTGACAACTGGAAGGAAACAGCTAGGGAAAAGCCGTGGCCTCCAGTCTGTCCCTCGGTGAGAAAACCTGTGTGGCACCCCTCA